GTTTTTTTTAATAATAATAAAAAAATTCCATATCGTAGGTAAGTTAGATTGCACTGTATATAGTAGGTCGGTATACCGTATAAAATTTAAACCAACAGGAATTTTACTGTTTTTCGCGTAATAAACTTCATAGTTTGCTTTGAAACGATCATAAAAGTGGATCGAGGTAACTTGATAAAAATTCATTTTTTTCTGTATTTTTTAAGAAATAGCCACAGCCTTAGAATGAAAATCCTAAAAAATGTAAAAGTCGATAAGCCGCGTTTTTTAAAAGAAAATTCCTTTTGGTACGAGCGTGTATATATATATATATACACGCTCGTACCAAAAGGAATTTTCTTTTAAAAAACGCGGCTTATCGACTTTTACATTTTTTAGGATTTTCATTCTAAGGCTGTGGCTATTTCTTAAAAAATACAGAAAAAAATGAATTTTTATCAAGTTACCTCGATCCACTTTTATGATCGTTTCAAAGCAAACTATGAAGTTTATTACGCGAAAAACAGTAAAATTCCTGTTGGTTTAAATTTTATACGGTATACCGACCTACTATATACAGTGCAATCTAACTTACCTACGATATGGAATTTTTTTATTATTATTAAAAAAAACAATATTAAATCGAAATAAAGAAAACGTCATCCGTATAAATTATTCAAATTTTAAAATAAAAAAAATTAGGTGATGATAGAAAGTTAGGGGCTTGGGTAAAAAAAAATGTTCAACATCGCGGTGCAACTCATTTTGATGTTATAACCATTGATGATATCCTTATGAAACGCATATATCTAAAGCCTGTGTAGTCATTGATAAAAACGACTTGTTTGTTCTAAAAACTTAATGTGCGCTCATTGAGAACGTGTGTAATTAGTAATTTCGAGTTGATAAACTTTTTATCAAGTAATATTCATTACTGATAGATATTCGTTAGACATTCATTAACACCTGATAAAATTCATTCTCAAGATTTGTAGAATTTGGTTCGATGTGTATATATACAAGGCGATAAATTTCACGATTATTAAAATGTGATACCCTGACCAAATAATGGACATTTTTTGTTTTATCAGTAAGCTTTTATTTTAATTTTCGTGGATTGATATAAAAAAAGCACATTTTTTTATTTCATTTTAATGGTAATTTTGAAAAACTTTTTGGAAAACATCTTTTTCATTCATAAAAGAGAGTATAAAAAAAAATAAAAAAAATAAATAAAGTGTGTATTGGTAATGTATTATTGTATATAAGATCAAGAAAAGATGAAAGCAGTGCATACCAAGTAAAAAAGCATCCCACGGAAAAGCAATGATGCGTATCATTCGGTGCCATATAAGTAGGTGGAGCGAATGAAACAGGCGGATATTTGACATATCAATTGAATAACTTAAAAGTTGGAGTGACGTAATTGCACTTGGCACAACCATAAACGCAGATGGTCTCGAATTCATTAGCTCTCGGGAAAAAAAAAAAAAAAAAAAAAAAAATAATAATTACCACCGTTGCTCCTTGTGGTCCCCTTTTTTCGCACGCTCATGAAACTTCGTAATCCGTATTAATTATTCCAATGCTATACCACACAAGCACGTTACATTTCGTTTGCATGCGCCAAGCAAGCATAGTAACAACCTTAATTACAACTACAATTTGGCTACTTGTATAAAAAAAAAAAAGCTCGATTATAGCATCGATGGAACTTGAAAACGTGTGCACAAATGCAATTGTAATAAACATCGGTATTGAATGTTGTAGGGGAGTCGCACCACTGCAGTAGAAAAAAAAAAAAAAAAAGCTCGAAGGGGCTAGAGCTTGAGCTTTGACGTTGTGTCACGTAAATGCACGGTGGTATGAGAAAACGAAAAAAAAAAAAAAAAAAAAAAAAAAAAAAAAAAAAAAAAAAAAAAAAAAAAAAANAAAAAAAAAAAAAAAAAAAAAAAAAAAAAAAAAAAAAAAAGGGTATGGTGAAGTATAGTATAGGTGACTTGCCTTCGAGGGTGGCGACCGAGCCACCGCAGTTGCGTAGCCGCCTGGCGAGCACGTGAATGGTCTCACCCTGGTGTCCGGCTGGCTCGGTGGAATCGCCCACGAGGACGAAACTGCCGCGCTCGTGGCCGCAGTGTTGGTTGGCCGCGTGCGCCTTGACCGCCAGCCCGAGTAACAGCTCGACCCTAGCGCGCAGCTCGAGGCACTTGATAGTCGAGAGCAGCTCGACCTTGCCCGCGGCCAATCGCCTGAGCATTATACTGGGTATCGCCAGGGCGACCGAGCCCCTTATGTGCCCCTCGGCGTAATCACCGGCACCACGGCAATCGAGCACGAGCAGTCGGCCTTGGCTACCGGTCCCCAACTCCCGGCACAGCCACTCGCAGCTTACCCTCTCGTCATCCCCGTGCACCTCCTCCTCCTCCTGTCGCCGAACCTCCTCCGTACCCGCTGGCATGGCTCCTACGTGTGTGCTTCACTCTCGAGACCAAAGTGCAGCCAACGCCGTTGCTACAGCCGCTGCTGTTGCCACTACCACCGCCACTACTACTACTACTGATGGGAGCCTCCGCCACGATGAGCGCTCATTGAGGAAGAAAAAGATGAGGAGAAGGAGGAGGCATGCACTTCCTGCTCCGAGGCTGCACGGGTCGAGCCCATTCACACGTATACGTTGGCGCGCTTACTTGCTCGATGGGGATGCAGTGATTCACCGTAAACGCTGGTGGTGGACTGTGCCTATATAATATAAGTTATACACCCGCACCAGCAGCCGCCCTGATGCATATTTACTCGCGCGACCGAGAGAACACATCAGCCGCAGCAGCGAAAACGAGGAGTAGCTCTCTGCATCGGCTGTATACTACCTATACGAGGGGGCTGGCTGCTGGGGCGCGCGCGCGCGCGCGCGGATGCTTTTGCGGACGAGAGCGAGTGGCACGGTATACGTCCAACGCGCGAGTGTGTACCACCACCACCTACTCTTATCGATCCTCCGTATCTCCTCCTCTTCCTCCGCGCGGATACGCGCACCAACGGGAGAGAGTAAGTACAATAATGTATCTTCCCTCGAAGTGGATACAACGGCAAGCCAACCTGATCTATCTCCCTTGGTTGTACGTATTTGACAATTATGGTTCAATATACAGCGTGCAGTACACCGATCACCGATTTTCTCTCAATGCACATGCAAACACATCCGTTTATATTTATACGTTTACGTATAGATACGTGCACACACGGGGACGCGCACTACAAGAACAATAAGTATGGTGCCGTGCAGTCTTTCCTTTTTTCATTCATTTCATCGGAGTCGGGTGAGTCGGGTCGCGCACACACGCAACTCTCTCTCTCTCTCTCTCTCGCGCACTTATAGTTGCTCCCGTGAAATTCATCGGATCCGTGAATGCGCGGGTGTTGGTATAGATGCGCACGCAAGCACGTTACTACTCAATGGCACGGACCGCGATGTAAATATATGTATATCATACACACGCTGCAGCTCCGAAACTCCGGAATGGAGTCTCTCTCTCTCTATCGTCTATATATGTGTTTGTATGTACGTATATAATGTGTATCCGTGCTCTGTGTTGATCTCGTCGAGATGAAACGAACTGATGCTTGAAGTGTCCTGTGTGTAAGCTTATCCAGCAGGGCAGGGTAGAAAGGAAGGAAAGAAGGCCTAGACGAGACTAAACTATGCTCGCGCGATAGGTATTTTCCTTCGGAGCGCGCGAGAGTAACTCCCCTTCCTTTCCTCCGTCGTCGTCGTCGTCCACCGTCGCTCTTCTCTCTTTCTACACGTATAAAATTGTATATATATATATATATATATATATAT